ACGACTGTATTGAAATACGTGTAACTAAACTATTGTTTGTTAGAACAGTGATCACGGACTTATCATTTCACCTCACAGCATAAACATTATTTTTAGTGTTAAAGGAGTAGTCGAATGATCCTTTCTCTTTCTTCATTTCTTTAACCAATTTCAGAATACGACCATCATCTAATCGATTTTCTCTCATGGTTTCAGTGGCAAAGTATTCTTTCTCGGTGAGAAGACACATCAGATTATGTGAAATAAAGAAATTATCAAAAAAAGATTCTGGATTCTCAATCACCTGGAGGAGGTTCATTACTACTCCATCAAGCATCAAGGCCATATTCTGAAGATTCAGTGTTCTCGGCTTCAGCGTATGGTTCAAACAGGAATAAATATCCATCTGTAGATATTAGACACAATAGTTTATAGCCAAATTCCTCTTTCGTGAACATTTTCTCGGGCGCGCCAACGGTTAACCTTTCGTACAAGAAGACATCTATTGTTGCACATATTAATGAACAGTTTCTGTCATTGTGATATATAGTTCTCTCCTATTCGGAAAGTTTCATAGTGAATGACATATGTGATACAACCCCGTCAAAATTGCAATACTTCATAATTAAAAATTACGCGTGCAATGAACTGTAAAACTGAGAGTATTAACAGGATATAATAAGCTTTCTAATTAAGTTTTGTTTCGTTGGATTACACTGTAAAAAGAAGAAATTGTATAGGAAATTGATAACGTGTTAAGAGTTGTACAATTGTAGAAATTTCATCACCCATAAAGTTTTTAAAAACTGTATAAAAGTAAATTAATTATACAAAATATTTTATTTATTACTTATATTTTTATAGTAGACTATATTATCAATTTTTTATTTAAAATATATTATAATACTTTTAAAAAGTCTTATTTATAATGTTGAGTTTTTGCAACGTTATCCGAAAATGGGTTAATAAAATTTGATTTTTTTAACCCATACTTATGCGAGGTTTGTTTTCTTGAGTTTTGAATCTAAATTCATTAAATGTCTCTTCATTCCTTTTAAAAAATCTAAAACAGTTGGCGAGGAATGCATTTAGAGCACATTTAGAGCATTTAGCACTCAGAGGATTAACAATGGCCAATTGACACATATAAAGTCCAGAAAATTCACGTCTGGCGGAGCTGGGGACCAGACTTTGCGCTAAAATTCGTAAACTATATACACAGATGGCCTCGGTGAATCCAACAAGGAATTGTTGCAAAACGTTTCTCATCGATCCCATACAAAACGATAGGGAAATTTCGAAACTTTCAAACCCGATATCTTCGAAACAGATAATCGGATTCGAAAACAAAAGGCTTATTGCACATCTACAGACCTATCCTTATCTATCGACACCCAATTCGTTCATATCCAGCGAGAAATCTAGGAGGAATTCCTCTAAAAACCTCCTTATTGTAATATATAAACGATTAGATTTTCATATAGAAATTTTAAATAACGACGTTATAAAGTCTATAAAAATATAATGAGAATAATTAATAAAGACAGAGTTAATAACTCGATCTACGTTGCCAAGTTTTCAGTTCAGAAAACGTTTTAAATTAATGTAATTTATTCGGTATTAAATAGTGAAAGAGGTTAGTCAAGGGGTTGTCGATTCGATTAAAAAGTTCCATAATAAGCCGTAACGTTAGACCTGTATTTTATGACTAATATAAACAATATTTCTTCCTTTTTTTTTTGTTTCTTTTTTACTACAGTATTGTCCTTTCATTCTTAGGCTACCTGACTTACTCGATTAACCTACTTGTTTTTATTGAAGCGTGTGGACGATACTTTAGTCACGTCCACACGCTTTAGACATTTTTTTCCTCTTCTTGTTTGTCGTTCTTTCTAAAATGATTTTATATTTAAATTTTTCGGATTGGATCCCTTACGATACGTTAGTGACATTTTTCTTCGTTTGTCTTTCGTCGAACGAAGGAAAATGCCATTAAAGTATCACGAATTTCTTGATTTTCTAGCTAAATGTAAAACAGCAAAACGTATTGTCGAGTATTGTTTAAGAAAATTATTTCTAATTTTTTAATTCTAAGCTCGTCTTCGTATTGTCGTATCCGTAAAAGTTAACAATTGAACGAGGTATTGTGAAAACACTGCTAAAATTATATCCACCTCTTATAGTTTTATTCGCGTTTTTTTTTTTTTTTTGTTAAGCATCAATAGTTGAAGTATTTTCCATCGTTCTGACTCCTCGGCTCCTTCCAATATTTTATTAGCGTTATCTTACATCGTCTTCTTATCACAATAACTTGCGGTAAATATAAACAATATATTTTTTAAAGAATTCCTCAGTTCGTATACCGTTATAAAAAACACTTCAGTCACAGAATTCAGCTACTCTGTGAACGTTTATGAATTCTGCCAATATATAGGCCTATATATTTCTTTTTTAAATTAAATTTTTCCGAAAATATGTAATAAGTATCTGTTTAGCAGAGTATTTTTAATCTTTTATTTATTTATTTTTAACTGATAAGCCATTTTACGTGCACTGATATATTGAATATAAACCCACGAAATACATGAAATTTCTAAAATATTGGAGTATAAATATATATATATATATATATACCGTATATTTTTGTTTAATAAGTTATTGTTGCAGTTTATATTATATAGTTTTATATATAGATTTCATTTACATGCGCCTTTACAATCTTTATGTATTTTTTTTTTTTTACAATAAATTAAACTTGACAACTCGGTATTAAAATATCGCTTAAATAAACACAAGGAAAATACACGAAAACATCAAACTACGTGTATAAAATATTTTTATACACGTAGAGAGATATACTAGAGAGATATTCAGAGATATATACAGTACAAATCCCGGAAGCAGCGGCAATCCACAACCATAAACTGAATTAAACCGTATAAGTAATATATATAGAATTTTTTTAATTCCATTGTAAACCGAGAACTTTGTCCCCTTTGTTCTACTTTCTAAGAAAGTAATCTTCTCCGATGTCCTTCGCGTAATTTCCATTCTTACACCTACTTAATTCCCCAACATTTTTCAATTTCTCATAATTTACTATCGATTAAGTTTGTAAAAAATTAAATAAGTAAATTTTAAAATCTAAACGTTATATATTACTTTAATAATAATTTATTTCCGGGTTCATTCCTACTGGAGTGCAAGATTTTTCAATTCGAAATGAGCAATTTTGGTGGGGGTAAATATAGAATTATACAAATATTCTATATTTTAATATATAAAATTTATATTTCTATATGACAATTTCAAAATATTTACGATTGTGTGTAATAAAATATGTCAGAAAAAAATTTTTTTTATGACTTTTGATTCCTGTACAAAGTGTAAAATTTGATAAAATGTATTGTTTTTACCACAACAGAAATGTCTCGACGTAGAAAAATAATATTTGTGCGAGAGTTTAGTCTAATTACGTTTTTTATCTGGATATTTCAAGGGCATCTTTAGGAAATTATTAGGGAAAAAAAGTATACGTTTCGACCGTTCTTAAACAATAAATTAAATCTTTAATTACATTTTATTGTTATTTTATGAAAATATAAAAACAATTAATAATTTTTAATACGTTTAAACTTTTTCCCGGTGGTAAAATATGAGGTATTATATAAAGATTTACAATAAGTTACGCCAAGGAAAAGTTTTTTGATAAAGTGAAACTGTCTCTTATTATCTAAAATAAATTGTCGAGAACTTTATTTTGTGTTTGAGTCATACAAAAGTTAATTATAAGTTAGATAATAATAATAATAATAATAATCTTCCAGCGTTATTTTCCGTTAAATACTTGATTATATCGCTATTAATTAAAAACAGTCTTTGTTTTGTATTGTTATAAATTGACGAAAGTTTATCTATCTTTTATTTATTAATTAATATAAATTAAGGATAATTACGTTTTATTTAACGAGAATCGTATTGTTTTGTACGGTAAAAAAATATTTTTATTTATGATATAATAAATACATATTTTTATAACCCGTTTTAGGCAGATGTAAACGAGAGGGAAAACGTTAACGATGGTCTCGTGTTATTTTATTTAAGCTACTGTATATAGGCCATTAAACGAGGAAATTTTTGATATTATACGAATTAAATTGTAAGGACGAGTGACATATTTATCTGGTATATGAATTTTATCTATTCTAAAGGTAGATAAAAATGATTTGGTGACGTAGAGGAGACTTTGAACGTTGTTCTAAGTGGTACACTGTCAATGACAATATCTAATTAAAAGACCGAATAAATTCTTTATATTCATATTTTTTAATATTGATTTTATCGATAAGATAATGTTATTTAACAAGTAAACGCGAAAAGAATTTCGGAGAATTTTGGGCACACGACCACGATCGAAACTTATTTTAAAAACTTTACATTATTATTAAGCGGATAAAATTACTAATAGAAAAGTTTGTTTCGATGTAAAAGGAAGTTACGCTCTTCCTTACAAACAAAATCCGACCTAAAGCGATAACAACGTCGATGAGTAACTGCATATATTATACAAGTCGACCCCCCTATAACACTGTTGATAATTCCATTTTATATGAATTCCATGTTGTACGAGTCATTTAGATTTTACAAATACGTGAGCCGTTCATAGCCTGGCACACGTATTTGTAAAATCTAAGTGACTCGTACAACATGAAATTCATATAAAACGGAAAAATCAACTGTGTTATAGGGGGGTCGACTTGTACTATTGTATATAAAATTCATACAATATCGCGGCCAAGACTTATTTTTAAGACATCGCGGTTATCAACAACTCAAGGTCTTTCCGGTCTTAATTTCGTTAAATGTAAACATCGCCTTTATTTAATTTCGGAACAGTGGAATTTTTTTATTAAAAATTAATTATATATTATTTAAACGATAGATAAACTCCATCTCGGTGGTAATTCAGATTAAAAAGTAACCTTTGGACGACAATAGTATCGCTACTTTTATCGGAAGGGGGCGCTGATCGAGTTTCGTCGTATAAAAGAGGAAGGCGTGGGGCACGCTGTTTATTCCACTCTCGTTTTGTTTACGTTCCACTACTTTTCCGACGTTTTTAAAATGTTAAGTACCGGTAACATCGTTAGACAAGTCGGTTCTCTGTGTCGATGCGCTATTGGTGAGTTTAATTACGTTTATTGACTTTTTAAATACGATAGCGAACTTAAAATTAAACTACTTAAAGAGTGTTCTGTTTTTTGTGTGTATAAATCAGTACACGTGTAATGATGCGATAATGCTGACGCGAATTTAGTAGCGAGAGAGAGGTTGCGAGCGATATAGTTCTCGCTAAGAATACCATGGAGAAGCGAGAAATATCGCTGGCAAGAGCGAATTTCTGGTTCTCGCACATATCGGGGTTTGATATTTATCGCGTCTCGCCTCATATTCTCGTTCGCTCGTGTCAGCACCCTAGTATAATTAAAATCTTTAACGAGATTGATTTTGTTGTTTTAGAACGTCAGACAGCGATTGGTGCAGTTGCTTGGCAAAGAGAGATCGGTACCAATGTGACCGGAACGAATAACTCCACAACACCTTTGCCGAAAGTCATCCAAAAAGTGAAAACACCACTGGGAAAACTTGATCAACAGACTGCCAAACACAAGAAGAACGGTGAATGCGATCCGTTTGCACCCTTTCCCAACCATACCAATCCCGTGACCGGAGAAATAGGAGGTCCCACCGGACCCGAACCCACAAGATACGGAGATTGGGAGAGAAAAGGAAGAGTTTCGGATTTCTGAATTTTATTGCGGATGATGGACTTAAAATGCGCACTGTATGCTACGAACATTTCATTTTATTATAAGTCATTTTGTCGACTAGCTACGTCGTAAGTGGTTATCTTTAAAGGCAAGTTTGTATTATGAAAGAAATCTCTTTCATTTGTTGTAAATGAGCTGTACATATTTATAATTTTTTTTGTTTATTTTTTTGCTGTGAAAATAAATTATATATTCTTAAATCTTTCCTTTAATAAAAGAAAAATTAGAATTACAGAAGAACTAAATCGTTTACCTATGGCTAAAGTAAAAACTATTTGTATGACTGAGGTTTTTGTGGAAAACTGAGAAATGTAAATAAAGTTTTTAATATATTCTATTGGGCAAGACACACAAATACTGTCCATAACATATACAATGTAGTAATTTCTATTTGAATCAGATTTCCATTGATATTAATTCATTTCCTTACACCAGAAGACTATTGCATTTATCAATTTAGCCCATGTGACTGTGTCAGCTTTTAGTAGCCTACTTGACTACTCGTGGAGTACTTGATGTTATGTAGTTTTAGGGGGTGAGGTGCATGTCTACATGCTTTGCATGTAGAATAGGTGGTAGACTGATATGTGTTAAAAACTGACTTTCTGAAATGAATATCACCCAAAGGATCACAATTCTGGGGTGGTGTGAAACTTCTTATTCATGGCTTGAATCGTACCTGTTCATGTACATATTGGCTGGCGACCTATTAACCGAAAATTACCAAAAATGAAAACACTACAACTATAGCAAAAAATCAAATGAGAACTTTTTTCCTGTGTTAATGAGGATATTCTATTCCTTGTGACACCGATTTTAAATCTGTTTGAAATGTGATTTTTTATTTTCTTAAGAAAATCCCATGTGTACTCTATGGATTAATGTAAGGTTTGTGGTGGTGTTTGAGGTAATGGGAGATGTACAATGACCACAGTGTGGTCCAAGCTGGATAGTTGTCCCACACAATGTAATAGTTGGAAATAGTCTTCCAAATGTTGATGTATTGAAGGAAAATTTGTCCGCTAATGTGAGTATACTGATCCATTATGCCGTGGATGAGGTGCAGAGAACACATTCGTGTTGCACTCGTATACCTTAAAACAAGCACTGATCGTCCACCATATGGACATCTGAGGGGGTCAAACAGGGTACTTGCCCTCCCCTGGAATTGAATAAAAAATTCCACAAATTTTATTTGTAATAGTAGTTGAGATATATAACCTTACACCCTTGACCTTGATACTGTGCAATACATTATTGGTGATATTTTCCAGTTCGGTAACAATCTTTGAAGCACTTGTCTTAGGAATTGTCTTGACTTTCCTTACTGTGACGTTCATATTGTGATGACTTAAACCAAGAAACTGAAATCTCATAATTTTATTAGAAAAGTCTGCTGCTATTTGCATACTTGTCTATGATTGAACAGTTGAACAGAATCTTCTCACAATTTGGCAATTTCACTTATTACCAAAGTTTACAATTATTTTTCATTCTTCCAGAGTTGTTTTTCTTTTGTGGCCCAACTATAAATAGCCTCCCTATGATGTAACACTATATGGCATTAAGACTTAATAATATCTAGTTGATTAACCAAACTTTTGTACTCATCAATAATATAGCATTTGACATTTATGAATATTTTTTGTGTGCAAATATTGAGCCTAAAATTATTTGTTTTATCATCTCAGAAATATGTAACAGTAAATTTTAATAATTGCAACTCAAAATATTCTGTTGTGAAGTACATAAAATTAGTCACATCAAAATGAGTGGCTAATTTATGATCAAAATGCTTTAAATAAATTGGGGACTGAAATGTTAAATATAAAAGTTCAAATTGTTTTACTTTTGGAAATTTATTTATTTAATTTAGTATAAACATGTTTATCAATATAGAGTACATTAGCTTGTAGGCCAACAGAGCATCATGGCCAAATCTTTCTCAGATTCCATACGTAAGAAAAATTATAAAAGAATTTTTATTCAAAATATATTTCAGAATTCAATAATTTTACACACATTCCTATTTTTAACTGGAAAATAGACATAAATAATAATGACAGCACTTTCACAGAATATGTATACCGTACATTATTGTTATATTTTATTTACTTTTTTAAATTTCACATATCTATTTTATGTTAATAAATTGCTATTTAGCAATGAAAACATTCAATAGTAAATAAATGTTATAAAATGTTTTTCTATAATGCCATGATTGAAATTAAAGGAAGTTACCGTACCTTCATTTCCTATTCTATCATTTTAGATAAGTTATTTCCTTATCATGTAAACAAATATCAAATTTTAAAATTTTTTCTTTTAAATAAAGAATTTAATTTTTGTATTTGGTCTGTTTACTTATTTTAAATTGTTTAAAAAAAAAACTATAATTTAATATGCAATATATTAAATCATAAAAAGAAAAAAAGTGTTTTTGGTAAGATTTAAAAAATCATGTTTTACCATATTTATAAACATTGAAAATATCTCATCAATTCAATAATTTCTAGATTATGTAAGCTTATTATTATTTATATAGTTTGTAACAATAGACATTCAAAAACAAATCAGAATGAAGAATACAATAACAGTAACAAACAGGGCTATCAAGAGGAAGAATGCAGAGTTATATCCTTATAGTCCAGACTTATATAGGACCTGAGCTAGAAGCTATAAAAAAAACTTTTAATTACAAAGTCTAGTAAATAAACTTAAGTAATTGCAAGTGCATAAAGAGAAAAAAATGTTATAAACTGTCATATCAGAAAGTATAGAGGGCCATAATCTGTATGGTCCCTACAATAAGACAAATTTTAGCATAATACAATAAAGAAATACTAGAACAATAAAATACTGTTAGAACTGACTGATTTTAAAATAGCAATGACGGAAATTTATACAGATTAGATTTATATAGGACATCAGATTATGGCAGAAAAATTTCCCTCCCTACCACTGAATGACCTCTAGTTTGGCTCATCAAGGAATGCCATGTTGAAATTCTTTAGAGTTTGAGAGACATTAATTTCTTATAAACAAAACAGATATTCACAGGAATGACATTCAATTAGAAAGCAGGTTTTGTATAAAATATGTAGTAATATTATTTGTTCCCAATAATTAATTATTAAATGACAATTAATATGACTAGTTATCAACTTTTATTGTATGTCTATCAATGATAAAAATTGCAAATTAGCAAGTACTGGAAGAATGGTCTGCTTTGTCCATAAAGATCCACTCTTTGAAGAACACCTTGCACCTTGCAATCTTATGCAGAGATCTTAGAAAATCAACTGTACAAAATCTCAAGTCCAAAAGTGAGGATTTCTGAGTAAAGGTATAATTTTTCTTCAAGAAAATGCTATGCTCCATGTGGCACAAACATCTTAAGCAACTTGATGATGATGAGATAGGAAAGTCCTCAAATACCTGCCACATCGTCCTGATTTGTCACCCTGCAACTACCATATCTTTGGGAAGATAAAGGATGCACTCAGTGGGCAAACCTCTAAATTAAACAATGACATATGTGAGGAAGTCATGGAATGAGTTTGGAAGCAGCTAAACAATTTTTATAAGGCAATAAAGAAATCTTGTGAAGTGCAGGTTAGCCTTGTAGAGGGGAATGTTTTAAAAAATACTAAATGTGCTTTAGGAAATAATTCAGTTTTTGTTTTGACTGAATAAAGTATCAGAAATATCAAACAATTACCATAAAGTATCAGGCTATTTTTTGATTACTAGTAATAATTAAATTTTTAAGTAATTTGTTGAACAAATTACTTAAAAATTGTTTAGCATTGATTAATGTCAGGTTTGAGAAATTTATATATGTATTGTAAATGTCTACAGTGTCTTCAAACTGTGCGTTATTTGTATTGCCTTTTTAATATCATTTATGTTTATTTCAGCATAACATAATCAGTATCTCATGCATGTTTTCTTCTTCCTCTTTGATCAAGCTTTCTTCATCTTTGTCTATGATTGAATTGGACCAAAGAGCAGACTAATAATCTGTGTTATTTTTCTATTGGTATGCAATTATGCTGCAATTGTGTAGTGTAAATAGGTGACTGTAGAAAAGTTTTTTGTGTTTGCAAATCACTTATTTTGTTGTCCTTGCAGTGAATATTGTTTATATCAAGTTTTTTAAGCCTCTGTGGCTTCATTGCAAGCTTTTGTTTTAGTGCATATTATGTTACTTGTTTTATTTTCTAAGTTCAGATGACAGACTATTATACTTTTGTTCTAAACTTATCAAATGAGAAAGTATTTTTTCAAACTTACCTTCAAAGTAAACTATAATCCAATACTGAACTGATTCCTGTAGCTTGTTGTGATCTTGGAAAATACTCTTCATGTTTAGAAGTTTTAGGAAAAAGCTCACTTGGTGAATGTTGTTTCTTCCCAATGACTGTCACAAGCTGCTGTACTGAGTCACTTGAAGGGACATTCTGAGACATAAGACCAGGATGAGTCTCATTGTAACCTCAATATAATGTAGTACATAAAAAATCCAAAAGACAATATATTTTCTGAATAAAAAAAACATTTATTTTAAGTTTCCAATGAACACATGCAAACTTCATTCAAAGATGCAACAATAAGTGGGGATCACAATGCCATTGCATGGGTTTTAATTTTCTAATCTCTCTCTCTAATTTTTGTGCTATGCTGAATATAGTGTATTGTGTCAGTCTATTTAATTAATTAAGTCATGTGAAATTTTATATTTCTATTTTTTTTATCAGTTAGGCTTATTTTGTCTTTTATTTGAGTGTATCTGTGATTGTACACTTTACCTTAAAGTCATGGTATGTTACCATAGAGACTGCATTACAATAAACTAATGTTTGTATGTCTGAGAGTATTGAATCTGAATGAATGTAATTTGGTAGTGTGTGTATATTGCATTTAGGTAATGTAAGATTTTTTCCTTCGATTGTTTTTGATGTATTTAAGTTTTAAGAGAATTCATGGTTGATGTGTGGGATCTAAACCAGTATATACTGTATTAATTTCTTGGAATAAGTATGCATTGGTCAATTTTGTGTCAATTGTACTGTAATTCTTGCATCTATGTTTTCATTGATGATTATTATTCTATATATGGTTTTGTTTGGTTTTGGAATATCATAAATGAATGATCTTCAGTATGATAAATGTGTATTTTTATATTTATTCTGCAACCTTTTGTTTGAGAGTTGTTTGTTTAAACTTTTTCTGTCCTGTGGGCATTAGGAAGACCTTTTTTATCAAATCCATTATAGATTTGGCCAGGTCCACAATGGGGCAGCCAGATGAGAGTTAGGATCTGATATATCTGGGATGGACTGTCTATAAAAAAATTTCCTGAGATTTTTCAACCCATCCATATTTAATCCTGGGTTTTCCAGAGCAGTAGACTGACACCTGAACCACTCAATCATTTGGCCATCTGTAGAATAAGGTTGATGTGTATAATTGTTATTTTCTGATCAACAACATTTTGTTTTGTAACAGTGAGATTTTTGTTTTAGTTTGTCTTATAATCACTGTCATGTCTGTTAATACTTATTATCATGACTGATAATAAGTAATGATGATAAATTTATTTATTTATTTTTTTGTATCCATTTCATCTGTTAGTGTAATTTTCCAGCCTTGGTTATCAATAGTTTACCACTTTGGCTTACTTGGTGTGTGCTATCTATTGTATCTGAGTGTAACAGTGATTGTGAGTATGATGCAGTAATCATATTTGGGCCAGTGCTGCATTCAACACTAAATGACTAAGGGAAACTGGTAGACTTTTTACATGTGAACCTCTGCCTACTCTATGAACATGACCTTGTTTGACTGCATGATACCATTATTATTCTGAGAATGTCATAATCATTTTTATTTTCTCCACAGAAATTGGCATGCTTATATATTTAAAGCCAGGTATTTATAAACCAACTGCTATTTATATGAAGAACAGATTTGGTTTAGTAGCTATTCATTTTAATTTCATTTCTTCCATAGATGTATAGTTTTATTTCTGTTCTACCAATTTTTTACAAGATATACTCTGTTGGTAATTATTTTATTATATAAAATAAATATTATAGAATAATGATTAGCTACTGTTTTATTTTTGTTGTTTTATCAGAATAATAAATAAGGTTATAAATATCATTTATTGTTAAAATCAAAATGCGTTTGATTCTAAACAATGTAAAACACACAAAAAATAATAATGCACTGTACAAAATTAATTATTATTGATAAGATGACTAATTTGGCTATTGACTTTTCATGTGATTAATAACTTGGCTATAAATGTAAAAAATAAATCTCTCTCTAAAAACATCAAGAACTACAGTATGTTTAACATTGTAGACAACTGTAAAAAAACTTTTTGTATAAAAATCCTTCTCTAACATGTAAGGAACTCCTAAAAATGCAGATGTAAATTAATCTTTTATCGTAGATTAAGACATGTTGAAATATGTAAAGATGATACAGTGTCCTCTGTCAGCAGTGGTAAAATTTCAACACAAAGAACTAATTACAATGCAAGTGTTTAAGAATTTGAATAAATATTTTAATTATCACCATTGGCAGAGAACATTGACCCCCCTTTTTTTACATGTATTTTAATGTATACAGAAAAAAGTCATATTGATCTTTCATTATAGGCTATGGCCTATAATAAGAGATCAATATGGTATTTTTTTCTTTTTTTAATAAATCTACATGTATTTTTAGGAGTTCTCTATATATTTGAGAAAATCTGTAAGATTTTATGATTTTCTACAATGTTAAAAGTAATAAATTAAGTGTGTGCTATCTTTCAATTTATACAACCTGTGTAATTTTCAGTTCACCTCCCAACAATGACCATTTTTTATGTTCTCATTAGTGGTCACTACTTAGAGGATTGATTGTTGTTCCAGTTACTTTAAATTTTTGTTCAAATGTATAGCAATATAATTAAAAGGTATTTTTTGAGTATTCAAAAAAATTATTTTTTCTATTGTATTAAATTACAGTAAGGCTCTCACCAGAAACCTGCGGTAACTCAATATCCTGCTCATCTAATCTCCTAGTCCTGTTATATTGATTAGATTGAGTTTGGTCAACCTAACAATACAGTGATAGGCTCTTCTCATTGAGAATTCTTGGATACCTTAAGCCATAACTTCTTCCACACTTCATTCATGCATTTATCAGTTAATTCTTGCTAAGCTAAGTCGTTATTTCCTATGACATCCTTAATGATATATTTTTTCCAAAATTGTACCAAACAAACATAGATTTAAAGAAAGTACACTTTTTTGCCACCTTTTGCTGATTGGTTTCTGTTTGCAAATAATCGTATACGAATCAATATATGTGAATCAATGTAATGCCACAATAAATTAAATTGGCGTAAATTTTGACCTTTTTTTAAGCTTCAAGCATACTGTGATATATTGAATTAGTATTAAGCAAGGCAGTGTTAAGTGGGGTCTTACTGTATATTTTATAATGCAAAACTGCAATCCTTGAATTTGAAAAAATTTATATCATAAGTTATGATGTATTCATCATTAAGTGCAATAAAGTATTCATCATTAAGTGCAATAAAGTTTTTTATATTAATCTTTTAAAAAATTTAGCAATTTAATTGTATTATTTTGAATGTTCTTGAAATGAAATTTTACAAAATATATTATTATAAGATTTCTCAAATAAGTTTATATTTAATATTAAATGAGATAGAAAATTAATTGTATATCATTATTTTGTTAAACTTTAATAAAAAAATAAATAAAGCTGGATCTTTCATTTCTGAGAAATCATTAAAAGAAATTTCTTTTAATAAATAAAAATTAATGATAAAATTGAATAAATCATCAAAATTAGAAAATATCCAATTGTTAAGTCATTTGCCAAAATCTTGAAATATTGTAGTCAATTATAATAAAGTACCATATATCTTGGCAGATAAGACGATAGTTGAATCATAAAAAAGGCCCCCAAAATCTGGGGTTGTCTTATAGAACAGATACAAAAGAAATTAGATTGAAATTTATATAAATTAAAACCATTATAAAAAGACAGACAAACTGTAATTATTTACTAGAAGAGAGTAGGGTATATGCACAAAATAGAATAGCCCTACAACGTTTTTGTGAAAAGTCAAGGTCATTACCTGAATGCCGAATCAGTGCCAATGTTTGCAAAAATCACAAGGCAGTGCTGCCAGATGCAAGAAAATAAAATTTGTTCATTCAAAAAATTACAAATAGGACATAATTCTGTGTATGTTATACAGTATTATTATTCAGATGATCATTGCTGATCTAAACTAAATTCATAGGCCATTGATATTTTGGGGGTTGCCTTATAGGACAGATATATGCTAAAACTATAAATTTACAACTTGTCTTATCTGAAGGTTGTCTTATCTGCCGAGATATACGTTATATAATACTATGAAAACACTTGCAAAAGTTTAGTTTTATAAGTATTTATTTCATGTATATTTTGTATTGAGATATATTTCTTTACATCTACAAAATTTATTCTATTTATAACAAAATTAAAACTGAAAGAATTAACATTATTTTTTAAATGATACTTTTCAAATTACATTTAAATGATCAAATTGTTTTTCAAATAAATACGCTACACAAATAATTCTCTATAAAATATTGATAATATAAAATTCATTCCTATCAAGATTCAGGTACTGAAGTAAATATTCTCAATCCATGCATATCTTTGATTTCATTTTTTAATGCCTAAAAAAATTTTAATTTATGTAATAAACTTTTAACAAACTATTAAATATTTTAACTTTTTAAATATAATAAATAAAAATAAATAATTAATAAAATTCTTGGTTTATTATGAATTGAAATTAAATGATTTTTTAATAGTAATTTATTGAATTAAAATTTTAATCTTTATCTATTTACAGATTTTTTTTATATTTAAGTGATTATTTTAAAATCTTAATTAATATAATACTTATCAAATTAATCATAATTTTAAAATAACCACTTAAATACAAAAAAAAATCTTCAAATAGATATAAAACNAATTATTATTCGTAAAAATAAAAATTTTAGTTCAATAAATTAATTTAAAAATCATTTACAGTCAACTCCCTATAACACTGTTGATAGTTCCGTTTTACATGAATTTTATGTTATACAAGTCACTTAGATTTTACAAATATGTGAGCTGTTCACAGCCCAGCACATGTATTTGTAAAATCTAAGTGACTCGTACAACATGGAATTCATATAAAATGGAATTATCAACAGTGTTATGGTGGGTTGACTGTATTTTATTTTCATTTAAATTAATATTCATCAATATAATTAATAATATTGTAATTACACATTATATTATTATTATTATTATTAATAAAAAATAAAAAATGTTATTAAAAATTATGTAAATTAGATATTCATAAAGAAGTATTACTGATAAGAAACCTCATTCAACATAGAACCTTTTTTTTTGTTTCCAGTAATGTTTAAAGACAAATGTTAAACAGTACTGGAATAAAACAAAAAAAGGCTCTATGTCGAATGAGGTTTCTTATCAGTATTACTTTCTAGTCTCATTTGGTGTAAAGTTATTTCTCCATTCAAGTATTACTGCTTTTAAAATTACATGGCTTGATAATTAAATCCCAACACTAATTCCACTATAATATAAAAGAATGTAAGAACAAGATTCAATGTATTTTTCATGAATAATTAATACAATCATTTTATTTTATAAGCTCACTTGTATATCATTTGCACACAATAATGTTAGTTTTAACACTGTTACAAATTTGATTTATAGCAATAGAGAAAAGAGAGAAACTAAGGTTTGTTCTAAGCAAGATACAAGTGTGACCAACATCTACAAATTGATTTATGTGTAGCCTATATAATTTGTAAATTAAACATAAACCATTTACATTTTAATGATTTGTAAGATTTCACAAAATCTGCAAGGATGTTGATGAAGATAAATGCTACAGTTGAATATTGCAAATATTGAATGGTTGAATATTAATACAGGATATTGCAAAATGAAACTGTTGGTTCTACAATTTAAATTACATAAAAAATGTTCTATGATTACAGAAGAGCAAATACACTGTTAGAGATATTGGGGACTGAAATGACAGTGTTTCTATCCTTACAGTGTGGAAAAACTTGCAAGAATCTTTTTATTTTTTTACAGAAAGTACAGAAAAAAAAACCAGTTGGTTTTAGAATAAAGAACATAGAAATAAAGAAAAAAAAAAAACTACAAAAAGTAACAAATGAACTTCCTATCCACCACTGGAGGAAATATAATTCTCTCTACTTGAACATAAACCTTCTAACTCCCCAGTATTACTCTTTTTGGCAAACGTTTTCGACCCTACCAGGGTCTTCTTCAGGCTTCCGTTTTAATAAATTCAAATATTGCAAAATCGAACAGTAATGGATTAAATGCGATTCAAATCCTAGAATGTCAACGTTCATATCAAAAATATAGAACACCACGTTTTTTCTTCGATGACGTTAAAGCTTGCGTAAATTGCGCTTGTAATACACAATATTACACTCAATTATGTGTGGGGTGTTTCTTCATAGCAAAATTTCCATGCTTTAGAGATATTAACTGCGTCTTTGGAGTTAATACATGTGTTGTTTAATCCTGCTTTATAAATCTCTAAGGTTTCCATAATTCTTAGTTGGTCCGTACGTTGTGATAGTCTTACCATACGGGCATTCTGTAGATCCACCCTTATTCCAGGTTCTGTGGCCACGGTTGAAAGGGTGGTGGTGTGTTTATTATTATCTATATCATATTTATGCTCCTGGAGACGTTTGCGAAGGGAGCGTTTGGTTGATCCCACATATACCAATTTATTATTAAATCTGTCATCCCAAATGGGTATAGAATATACTCCCGGTGCGCATTTCAAGTCTAGCGTATCCTTCCCATTGCGTAGTAAGCTATAAATGGATCTTGGCCTACTGTACGTTACCTTATTATTAGTGCGGGAAGAGATTTCTCTGTATATATTGGCCAGATGGTGGTTGTACTCTACTATTTTTCTTTTACTGTTTCCGTCAAGGGGAACATCTGGGATGTCCGGAGTATTGCTTTCTCTTTTCCGTATATATGCTCTTGCGATATTATATACCAAGTTCTTACCGTACCCATGCTGTGTTGCCATTCCCTGGATATGTTCCAGCTCTGCTATGGTGTCCTTCCATTCAGAGTGGTGGGTGAACGCCCTCTTAGTCTTATGTGAGCTAGTAATAAGGAAACTTGAGCAACAAATCATCCCTCTTTATAATTCCAACATGCTCCTGTACAGGAGATATGTGGATGATGTCCTTATCATATGGAGAACAGAACCTAACGTAAATATTTTCATAAAGGAAATGAACAACAACCCATATGGCCTAAAAATCAAACTAGACCAAAAAAGCAATAGAGCCGCACACTTCCTCGACTTAAACATTCAATTAATGAATAAGAGAATTTCGTACAAAGTTTTTTACAAAGAATGCTATGTACCAATGTTCATCCCGGCTAACTCAGAAGATCCTTACCCCTATAAGATAGCGGCATTTCGGGCATTGACTAAGAGGGCGTTCACCCACCACTCTGAATGGAAGGACACCATAGCAGAGCTGGAACATATCCAGGGAATGGCAACACAGCATGGGTACGGTAAGAACTTGGTATATAATATCGCAAGAGCATATATACGGAAAAGAGAAAGCAATACTCCGGACATCCCAGATGTTCCCCTTGACGGAAACAGTAAAAGAAAAATAGTAGAGTACAACCACCATCTGGCCAATATATACAGAGAAATCTCTTCCCGCACTAATAATAAGGTAACGTACAGTAGGCCAAGATCCATTTATAGCTTACTACGCAATGGGAAGGATACGCTAGACTTGAAATGCGCACCGGGAGTATATTCTATACCCATTTGGGATGACAGATTTAATAATAAGTTGGTATATGTGGGATCAACCAAACGCTCCCTTCGCAAACGTCTCCAGGAGCATAAATATGATATAGATAATAATAAACACACCACCACCCTTTCAACCGTGGCCACAGAACCTGGAATAAGGGTGGATCTACAGAATGCCCGTATGGTAAGACTATCACAACGTACGGACCAACTAAGAATTATGGAGACCTTAGAGATTTATAAAGCAGGATTAAACAACACATGTATTAACTCCAAAGACGCAGTTAATATCTCTAAAGCATGGAAATTTTGCTATGAAGAAACACCCCACACATAATTGAGTGTAATATTGTGTATTACAAGCGCAATTTACGCAAGCTTTAACGTCATCGAGGAAAGAACGTGGTGTTCTATATTTTTGATATGAACGTTGACATTCTAGGATTTGAATCGCATTTAATCCATTACTGTTCGATTTTGCAATATTTGAATTTATTAAAACGGTAGCCTGAAGAAGACCCTGGTAGGGTCGAAAACGTTTGCCAAAAAGAGTAATACTGGGGAGTTAGAAGGTTTATGTTCAAGTAGAGAGAACTACAGAAAGTGCTGAAAATGCCATCCTCCTCCTGCAATGCACATCTCACATCTCTTAATAATAGACTGATAGACCCTGAAAAGTATTTCAGCATTTTGGCAAACTCTAGTGCTCCATGCATTATTCAAGCAATTAAGTCATCTTAGATAGCTGCCTCTGTGATATACAGTAATACCTCGACTTACACGAATCTGGAGTTATGCAATTTTCAAATCTCGTTGATTTGTCTTTTGTTTGAGCGCTACACAACTGTTGATTACTCATTCCCCCCACACTATTGTTTAGCTTACATGTTCAGACGTGTCGTGTGGAATTGACACATAGCTACAATTTATTTTGTGTTATTTATTTCTTTGTTTGTTATATCTACAGAGACTTGAGAGACTCTATGTGGTGATTTCTTGTAATCGTGAACGAATCAAAAGACGAGATAAGATTAATGAGAACATTTATTAGCTTACATACATTCAACTTGGATTTTACACAAATTGCGAAATTATACCCCGACTTACACGAATTCGACTTACGTGGTTATCACTCGGTCCCACCTATTGTGTAAGTTCGGGGTATTACTGTATAGGTTGACCAGATGTACATTTTTTCTTTTTTTTGCTCTATTCTGAAATCTCTCTCTATCCTACAGTTTTAGTGAAATTTATACTTTTGTCCTGTTTTTTAAGAAAAATCAAACAGCTTAGCTCTCTATAGTTTCTATATTAAACACGGTATTCTGAACTTTGGATTTGTTAGAAAATGTTTATTCTGTGTTGATAGAGGTCATAAATGTGTGGATGAGCTCAAGAAGGGCCAGTGTCAAAATTGACACTTCTTAAGTTTTTGAGTAATTCACATTAGAAATTTTGAACAAACTTTACATATATGTGTATACTGCATAAGTACTGCAAAATGAAAAATTTTTTTTCATATTAATGTTTACAGAGTACTTTGTACTGTACCTCTGTTCTGACCCAGTATCCTACCATGCAGCCACACTGCAACAGTACCGATAAACAGTATAGATAGATATATGTATAGTTTATGTAAAGTAATAGTTGTTACTCAGCACCTCTTACATTAGATAGCCATGAGCTGCTATTGTAAACACATTTTGTTCTTAATGAGGCCCTAGGTTTCAATAAAACAAACTGATTTAGCAAAACTGTCTAAGAACAAAATATATATACATATACATGTAGGGTGATTCTCTCACT